GTGGAGAATCGTAGAATTGCTCAGGTTGGAAAAGGTTTTGGAGATGGTTGAGTTCGATCGTAGGATTTTCATTGATGTGCTAATTGTGCTGTGTAATAATCCAACCCAACCGTCTTACTCTAATTAAGAACCCAACCCAACCGTCTTACCCTAATTAAGAACCCAACATAACCGTCCTACCCTGATTAATAGCCCAGCCTAACCATCCTACCCTGATTAATAACCCAACCTAACCGTCCTACCCTAATTAATAACCCAACCCAACCATCCTACCCTAATTAATAACCCAACCTAACCGTCCTACCCTGATTAATAGCCCAGCCTAACCATGCTACCCTGATTAATAACCCAGCCTAACCATCTTACCCTAATGAATAGCCCAGCCTAACTGTCCTACCCTAATTAAGAACCCAACATAACTGTCCTACCCTAATTAAGAACCCAATCTAACTGTCCTACCCTAACTCACAACCCTGAGGTGATGTGGGGACGCATGGGGGTGATATTGGGACCCATAGGGACCCATTGAGGTGACCCATAGGGGTGACATAGGGACCCACTGAGGTGACACAGGGCCCCATAGGGGTGACATAGGGACCCATAGGGGTGACACAGGGACCCATGGGGGTGATATTGGGACCCATGGGGACCCATTGAGGTGACCCAGTGACCCATGGGGGTGACATAGGGACCCATAGGGGTGACACAGGGACCCAGTGACCCATAGGGATGACCTAGGGACCTATGGGGGTGACATAGCATCCCACAGGGACCCACTGAGGTGACACAGGGCCCCATAGAGGTGACATAGGGACCCACAGGGATGACATAGGGACCCACAGGGATGACATAGGGACCCATGGGGACCCACTGAGGTGACACAGTGACCCACAGGGTGACATAGGGCCCCATAGGGGTGACACAGGGACTCACAGAGGTGACATAGGGACCCATGGGGGTGATATAAGGACCCAAAGGGACCCATTGAGGTGACCCAGTGACCCATGGGGGTGACACAGGGACCCACAGAGGTAACATAGAGACCCATAGAGGTGACATAGGGACCCAGTGACCCATAGGGATGACTTAGGGACCTATGGGGGTGACATAGCATCCCACAGGGACCCACTGAGGTGACACAGGGCCCCATAGAGGTGACATAGGGACTCACAGAGGTGACATAGGGACCCATGGGGGTGATATAAGGACCCAAAGGGACCCATTGAGGTGACCCAGTGACCCATAGGGGTGACACAGGGACCCATGGGGACCCACTGAGGTGACCCAGTGACCCATAGGGGTGACATAGGGACCCATAGGGGTGACACTGGGACCCAAAGGGACCCATTGAGGTGACCCAGTGACCCATAGGGGTGACATAGGGCCCCATAGGGGTGACATAGGGACCCACAGGGACCCACTGAGGTGACACAGGGCCCCATAGAGGTGACATAGGGACCCATGGGTGTGACACAGCGACCCACTGAAGCTGCCTGGAGCTGCTGTGACCAAAATTCAGGACCCAACACTCGGCCCTATTGAACCTCATCCAGTTCACCTCGACCTCAGCCCTGCACTCCTCCCCCCCCCAATCTCAGCATCATCTGATTGAAGGACGGTTAATTAAGACGTTAATCAGAAGCAAGGGACGAGGCCGTGGGGGTGCAGCCTGGCGCTCACCTTATCCCCAGCCAACACTTTGAAGGATGCAATGACCTGGTCGGCCGTGTCGGTGTCGGTGGTCTCACGGGACATGAAGTCAATGAAAGCCTGGAAGGTGACGCTGCCGCTGCCGTTGGGATCCACCAGGCTCATGATGCGGTTGAATTCAGCATCACCCTGCCAGAAAGTGGGGGGCATCGATGGGGGGCGGCGGGGGTGACATTGCCAACCTCCCCTCTCCTTGCATTGATGGGGGACAGTGAGTGTGGCATCACCAACCTCCCCCCTTCCCCTGCATCGTAGGGCTGGAAGGATGAGGTTTGACCCCAAAAACAGAAGGGAAATTGTTCTGCTTTGGGAGCTGCCCCATGGCAGCATGGATAGGAAGGAGGAGAGAGAGATGGGGGGGAAAAAAGGTGAGAAAAGGGTGGAAATCCTTGCATTGATGGAGGACAGTGAGTGTGGCATCACCAACCTCCCCCCTTCCCTTGCATCGTAGGGCTGGAAGGATGAAGTTTGACCCCAGAAATAGAAGGGAAATTGTGCTGCTTTGGGAGCTGCCCCATGACAGCATGGATAGGAAGGAGGAGAGAGAGATGGGGAGGGAAAAAAGGTGAAAAAAGGGTGAAAATCAAATCCTTGCATTGATGGGGGACAGTGAGTGTGGCATCACCAACCTCCCCCCTTCCCCTGCATTGTAGGGCTGGAAGGATGAGGTTTGACCCCAGAAATTGAAGGGAAATTGTGCTGCTTTGGGAGCTGCCCCAAAGCACGGATAGGAAGGAGGAGAGAGAGATGGGGGGGAAAAAAGGTGAGAAAAGGGTGAAAATCAAATCCTTGCATCGATGGAGGACAGTGAGTGTGGCATCACCAACCTCCCCCCTTCCCTTGCATTGTAGGGCTGGAAGGATGAGGTTTGACCCCAAAAGTAAAAAGGAAATTGTTCTGCTTTGGGAACTGCCCCAAAGCACGGATAGGAAGGAGGAGAGAAAGATGGGGGGGAAAAAAGGTGAGAAAAGGGTGGAAGTCCTTGCATTGATGGGGGACAGTGAGTGTGGCATCACCAACCTCCCCCCTCCTTGCATCATAGGGCTGGAAGGATGAAGTTTGACCCCAGAAATAGAAGGGAAATTGTTCTGCTTTGGGAGCTGCCCCATGACAGCATGGATAGGAAGGAGAAGAGAGAGATGGGGGGGAAAAAAGGGTGAAAACCAAATCCTTGCATTGATGGGGGGCAGTGAGTGTGGCATCACCAACCTCCCCCCTCCTTGCATCATAGGGCTGGAAGGATGAAGTTTGACCCCAGAAATAGAAGGGAAATTGTGCTGCTTTGGGAGCTGCCCCAAAACATGGATAGGAAGGAGGAGGAAAAAAGGTGAGAAAAGGGTGAAAATCCTTGCATTGAAGGGGGACAGTGAGTGTGGCATCACCAACCTCCCCCCTTCCCTTGCATCGTAGGGCTGGAAGGATGAGGTTTGACCCCAGAAATAGAAGGGAAATTGTGCTGCTTTGGGAGCTGCCCCAAAGCATGGATAGGAAGGAGGAGAGAGAGATGGGGGGGA